GGAGTTATACCTGATGTAAATGACAAGTTGATGGGTGCTGACGAGTTGATGGGTGCAGCACACCAACATGGCAGAAGTATACATATGTAACAAACGTGCACGTTATGCACATGTACCCTAGAACTTAAAGTATAATAATAAAAAAAAGAAAGAAAGAAAAAAAATGTGGCTATTGTGATACACCTATAAAAACTAATAAAACTTAAAAAAAAGATTCATATTTCTAATTTAGGGTAGTGTTCAACATATGATACTTTATGAGGTATTCCAAGAAATATTTCTTCAGGATCTTGTTTTTAAAAAGCCTTGGAAATTTGTAGAGAAAGTTCCTTCTATAATGTCTTAACTCAGATAGACTTTTTAAAATCCTTTGTTTCAGAAGAATTATAACCACATTGGCAATGCTGAGACAATATTTTACCTCAAGCCAATCTGAATTATAAATGAAACAGAATAAATAAATGCAAGAAAGGGAGAAATCCAAAGTAATTGACAACCTCTGTCTTGCAATTTCTTTTCTTTTTTTTTTTTTTTTTTTTTTTTTTTTGAGACGGAGTCTCGCTGTGACGCCCAGGCTGGAGTGCAGTGGCGCTATCTCGGCTCACTGCAATCTCCTCCTCCCGGGCTCACACCATTCTCCTGCCTCAGCCTCCTGAGAAGCTGGGACTACAGGCACCCGCCACCACGCCTGGCTAATTTTTTGGTATTTTTAGTAGAGACGGGGTTTCATCATGTTAGCTAGGATGGTCTCGATCTCCTGACCTTGTGATCCACCTGCCTCGGGCTCCCAAAGTGCTGGGATTACAGGAGTGAGCCACAGCGCCCAGCCTGTCTTGCAGTTTCATAGATTTTGCTTAATGTATGATTGAACAAAGTACAGGGTTTTAAATTAAAAATAGAAATGGTAACAAACATTGTAATTATATGGATTAAAGAATTTTTAAAAATCATCTCAAAGTTCTGCTAATTTAGTGTGTCAAACAACAAGATAGCATGAATATTTCAGTCTGGCAACTGCCCAGAAATGTAGTTAATGTCTAATAACTCATTGTTATAACCTGTAATTTTATATTTTGAAAAATAAAAAATTATGGTAAAAATTGACTATACTTCTTCCTCCTTCTCTGATTCCCCTGTTCGAAGAAGATGCAGCTCCTAAACATGCCATTGGCCATAAGTTAGAGAACTGGTTAACGATCGGGTGAGAAAATGAAGGCAAAATCACTTAAGTTTTCTCCTTATGCTCAGGGAGCACAGGTATGCTCCAAGTGCAAGGAGGACTGTGAAATTTTATCTTGTTACATTACTTGGCTGGTTATTTCCTATATCACTTTATGGTGAAAAGCTCCCATAGTAGTTTCAAGTGTAATTTAACTTTAGTTCTGTCTTCTATTTCAGTCCTTTTATTTGATCTTTAAACAGTGCTTATGTTTGAACCAATAGAGCCAGTCAACAAATAAAAGAGAGTGTAGAAATTGAGATACATGAAGGTAGGAATTAATTTCACAGGCATTTGACAACGGTAAATTTTTAACAAATTCATGAACAGAGAATCATTCAATTTAAAAACAATTACTTACATATAATTATTTTAAAAACATTCAAACATTTACTTATGTTTAGAAATGAGAAATGAGCTGAATTGAACTCTTTGCATGTGCTAGACTAAGAATGTTTAATGATAATTTTCAAAAATGTTGATTGATTTTGATAAAGTTCAGAACACTACTAAAGGGTGCTAAGATATACATAAATTTCCATTTGTGAGATGGCATACCAGATGCCAGCCAGTGGAATACTGCCAGAGGGAATTATCTTCTATATTTTTATGTATTTTGTTGAAATTTGTTCTGTTGGTAGAGAGTACATAGTTACACAGTATGAGGTCAATATAGCCTAAACTGATAAGTCATCTTTACATAGATCAGCATACTGGAATAGCAAAAATAGTAATATAGATGCAATTATGAAAAATAATCTGAGCTAATATAGCACTTTTTATATATGAACAGGAGTCAATTTGCTGTTGGGAACCCGATCTAATCTATATCTGATGGACAGAAGTGGAAAGGCTGACATTACTAAACTTATAAGGCGAAGACCATTCCGCCAGATTCAAGTCTTAGAGCCACTCAATTTGCTGATTACCATCTCAGGTTTGTTAAAGAACTAAAATTAGCTGAGTAATTATGCAGATTAATTAGTCTGCAAACTGGGTTAAAGACTTTCTCAGGTGAAAGTGTTCATAGAAGAGCACTTTAAATATAACCTTTAATTGGGACGCCAGACTTTCCTACTTGTATTCTCTTATCTATTTACAATTTAAAGTAATTTCCTTTTATTATAAAGTACCTAACCTAGGTTACTGATAAGAAAAACCACAACATTTGCATCCTTGCATGTTCTCTCCAGTGCAGCTTCCTACAACTTCAGATCTCTAATTTTCATTCACTCGTGCACAGGACTGCATCAACATCCACCATGTCTCATTCTTGTGATGTGTTAGAAGCAACAAAGAACAAAGTGAATAATAATCAGATATAAAAGAGACTTGTCCTTAGTATTTAACCTTATCACAAGGGCCTACAGATAGTTTGAAACAAGACTGGATCCATTAAGATCTTTACACCTTTTCCAAATAGTAGTTAAATTTCTTAGTTTTGGTCAGTCAGAGCCTGAACCTTAGAATACAAGAGAGCAAGTAAATGAGTGTTAAGAGTGATCGCGATTAGTAAACAGCATTTAGTATCAGGAAAGCACCAATATTAAAGCTGACTATAAGCAAAAGATGATTGACAAAAGGAGAGAAAAAGTAAGAAAATATGGCTTGTCTATGGAATGAAATGATGCTAATTACAGATTTTATATGAGTTTATATATTTTTATTATATATAACATGTTTTATATTTAATTAGTGCACAAATTGCCATGTTGCACACTAATGATTGTGTATTATTCCTAAAATGATTAACTTTGCTTTATGTTTTGGTTAGAGGAGAAATCCCTTTAGAGGTATGCTCAGACTTCATGATTTTTTAAATCATGTTTTATAGTCAGTTGCTTATAATGGTTTAAGGTACATAGAAGTAATATTTGTTGTTTGAAAACATCTGGGTGGCTTATAGACTACATATCTGTATAACAGATTTCTTTACTCTTTATCCAACTTCCTCTAATCTAAATGTGTTCTTCTCTAATTCTTGAGCTTCTCTGAAATGTGGAATACTTTTCCATCAAACAGTACTGAGAACATCCGTATAAGAAGATACTCAGTAGTTTAAAGCACAAATTTATTTTACCATTTAAGAAATAGAATAGCCGTTGTGTATTAGTCCGTTCTCATGCTGCTATAAGGACATGCATGAGACTGCGTAATTTGTAAAGGAAAGGGGTTTAATTGACTCACAGTTGCATATGGCTGGGGAGGCCTCAAGAAACTTACAATCACAGCAGAAGGGAAAGCAAACACGTCCTTCTTCACATGGCAGCAGCAAGGAGAAGTGCAGAGCAAAGAGGGGAGAAGCCCCTTATAAAACCATCAGATCTTGTGATTTATAACTCACTATCATGAGAAAAGCATGAAGGTATCTGCCGCCATGATTCAATTACCTCCCAATGGGTCCCTCACTCAACACATGGGGATTACAATTTGGATTACAATTCAAGACCATATCACATAAATGTAGATATCTGAGCCTTAACACTGCTTCAAAAATGTTATATTAAAAACATGAAAGATTAATCACACAAGTAAGAATCCTATTGTTGGCCCTAGAAATCATGTAATAATAAACCATAAAAATGACAAAGAAAAATGATTATAAAGTCACTATATAGGGGAAAAGAAATGTGTGATTTTTTCATGTCCTGTGTTTCCTGACTCAATTGTAAGAATTTGATGGGATTTACAATTAGGAAATTAATATTAACGATAAATTTAGTTGGAGGAATATATAATGAAACTGTTCAGCTATTTTACAAGCATGCTGGAATGACAGAATACAAAGATACCCATACTGCTGGCTCTGAATACCTTAACAGTCAATATTCAGCCACCCCACTCATACACACACACTACCAGGGACAGCTTTTAGGTCTCTGAACCCCAGAGGAGTCATGACTTAGTGAATAGTCAAGGTACAAGTGAATGGATGGTAATTATCTTGCCTGCATAATGAAAGGCTTAACCCTGTCCCAAAAAAGGTTTAGATCCCCTTCAGAGAGGCACATAGGTAGATACTTTGACTATTTCTTGGAATTGAGAGACTAAAATAATCTGTCATATTTCCAAACCCTGAATGGGAGATTCTGATGCAATGCAGTTTTTTTTACAAGTGCTTTTTACATTAATAAAAATATTTTTTAAAGGCAAAATATCTTTACATTTTTTTTCTTCTAATATATTAAAAGAAAGATTGATTTTAAATACTGTATCTTTTCTTATCTATTAGGTCGTAAGAACAGACTTCGGGTGTATCATCTGACCTGGTTGAGGAACAAGATTTTGAATAATGATCCAGAAAGTAAAAGAAGGCAAGAAGAAATGCTGAAGACAGAGGAAGCCTGCAAAGCTATTGATAAGTTAACAGGCTGTGAACACTTCAGTGTCCGTAAGCCACATTTCATGTTTACTATGGCAATATAAATTTTACATCCTTTCATTTGGTGAAGTACATAATTATGAAAGGCAATGCAGAGAAAGGAAACAATTTGCAGTTTCAAACATAGACGGGATCAGGCATGTTCAGGGTGGTATGGCTATAGACAGCAACTTCAAATCAAAGAATAGTAAATTTCACTGACACGTCTTCCAGGTCTTCTATGTTACAATCTTTTTTTTTTTTTTTTTTTTTTTTGAGAAAACATTGATTGACTAAAATTGTTATTGGTGTTCGGTTTGGTTTACCTCCTCACCTTACTTTCCTTCCCAGTCACCCTGAATATTCCAGATAAACCGGTATTTTTTTTCCTGCCTCTATATAGCTTCGCTATATAAATGATCGAGATTTATCTTCACAAACTTGGGGAGACTCATATGATACTCTCTTTCCTTTGGAACAACAGTAAGATTGAATCCCTCCTAATACTGACCAGGAAACTTAACAATGAGTCAGAAAGAAAATTCTATGATCTACTGACTCTCGCTCCCACTGTTGATATTCATGAGTATAATCACTATTTTCCATCTGATTAGAATGTTTTCATATACCCTTTGTCTTCACAACCATCCACTGTGAAAGGTGGTAACAATCCTAGGGGTTCAGAATCCTGCTCTCAGCTGTAAAAAACTGTGAGCTAATGTCATACCATTCTGTTCTATTTCTGAAACAAATCCTCCTCTACTCTCGGCCTTCTTTTGCTTCTTTCCCTCTTCATTAATTGCCTCTTCAGGCAAAACTGGTGGCATAGGTGAGAAATAACTGGAATCACATTATGTAAATTGCAATGGGATACTTCTATCCTGACTGACTATTATTGTTCTGCATATAAAGTGACCTTCTCAGGATAGGTTTTTGTATGTGTGTGCATATGTATACATACACCACTAAAGAGGGAAATGAGTACCCAGATAACTTAAGCATTAAATAAATATACTAGTTTCTTCTAGGTTTAGGTATCACTACTTCACTCCAGATCATATTATGCAAATGTGATAGTCTCAGAGGTGAAAGATATCCCCAGATGTTAACTTGGGCGTTTATATAGCAAAACTACCTCCTACTAACTTGTAAAATATTAGTTCAGTAAGAGATAGTCACAAAAGTACTCATATTGCAAATCTGTGCTCTTTGTAAGGGGTGGAATAGTTAAGTTTAGTTTTCCTGGCTGACCCCATTCCAGTCCACCTAAGCTCTCAGAACAGCAAAAAGCATTCGTCCCACTGACAGGTGGAATTAGTAGCATCTTCACACAGGAAGACAAGAACAGATCATAGTTGCCTGGTATTTTCATAGCCTTCCAAGATCCACAAGACAGTGAACTGGCACCAATTACTACCCTATATTAAATATATAGGAAGTGTTTTAAGAGAGAATATTTTTGATTGTTGGAGGATTAGTAATCATGCTCCTTTGACCTACTTGGGAGCAATGCAAAAGAAAATGCAAGAGTAAGCTAGACCCAGATTGACAGAGAGAGAGAGAGAGAGAAAGCTACACCCAGAGAGAGAGAGAGTAAGCTACACCCAGAAAGAGAGAGAGAGAGAGAAAGAGAGAGAGAGAGAGAAAGAGAGAGAGAGAGAGAAAGAGAATGCGTCGGGGTGGCAGAAGAAATTGCAGCCAAGGAAGGGCGTTATAGCACAAAGTATAAATCTATCAGGTAAGACAACATTTTCCATAAGAACCAGAAGGGCTAATCAAGAGCAAGCATATACCTAATTGTACTTTTTAATTTACCTTTTAAAACAGCCCTATTGAAATAATGTACATACCATGATATACACTTGTTTAAAGTGCACAATTCAATGGGTTTTAGGAGGTCTATCGAGTTATGTAACAATCACCATGATCTAATTTTTATCATCCCCCAAAGAAACCCCATATTCATTAACAGTTATCCCGCATTCCATCTTTCTTTACATCCCCCTCTACCACTCACGGTCCTAGGTATCCATGATAAACTGATAAATGGTTACCTAGGACTTTCTTTCTCTATAGACTTGCCTCTTCTGGACAATTACTATAAATGGAACCATATATTATGTTGTGTTTTATGACGGACTTTTACTTAGCGTAATATTTTCAAGGTTTGTCTATGTTATATATAACATGTATCAGTGATTCCTTTTTATTGATGAGTAGTATTGCATTGAATGGATATACCACATTTTGTTTATCCATACATCAGTTGATGGACATTTGCACTCTTTCCACTTTTTGGCTATTAAAAATAATGCTACTATGAACATTTCATACATCTTCATATGTGGATATGTATGGTTTTTTTTTTCTTGGATAATATTGTTACACTGTTTTTCAAAGTGGTTGCACCATTTCACATTGCTATCTGTAATGTATGAGGGTTCTATATTCTCTATATACTTGTGAGCACTTGTAGATGTCTGTCTTTTGATTTTAGCCATCCCTATGGGTGTAAAGTGGGATGTTATGAAAGTTTCAATTTGCAGTTCCCTTATGATTAGTGTTGTTGAGTATCTTTTCATATGTTTACTGACCATTTGGAGACATGTCTATTCAAGTCCTTTGCCTGTTTTTTAATTGGTTTGCTTATCCTTTTGCTGTTGAGTTGTAAGCATTCTTTAAGTATTCCACATACTAGACTCTTTTTTTCTTTTGAGGCAGAGTCTCACTCTGTTGCCCAGGCTGGAGTGCAGTGGAGTGATCTCAGCTCACTGCAACCTCCACCTTCCAGGTTCAAGATATTTTCCTGCCTCAGCCTCCCGAGTAGCTGAGATTACAGGTGCTTGCCACCACACCCACTTATTTTTTGTATTTTTTTTTTTTTTTTTTTTTTTAGTAGAGATGGGGTTTCACCATGTTGGCCAGGCTGGTGTCAAACTCCTGACCTCAGGCTGGTGTCAAACTCCTGACCTCAAGTGATCCACCCACCCTGCCCTCCAAAGGAATGGGATTACAGGGGTGAGTCACTGTGCCCAACCCATATACTAGACTCTCATCAGAATATGATTTGCAAGTATTTTCTCCTATTCTGTATGTTGTATTTTCGCTTCCTTGATAGTTTCCCTTGGTGCCCCAAATTTTTATTTTTGATGAAGCCTAATTTATCTTTTTTTTTCCTTTTCTTGCTTTATACTTTGGGTGTCAAATATAAGAATTCATTGCTATATTCAAGGTCATCAAGATTTATCCCTATGTTTACTTCCAAGAGTTTTATTGTTTTAGTTATGACATTTAGGTATTTGATCAATTTTGAGTTAATTTTGTATATGGTGTGAGATTTGGGCTCCAACTTTACTGCTTTGCATAGGTATATCTGCTTGTCCCAGCACCATTTGTGGAAGAGACTGCTTTTTCCCTATTGAATGGTGTAACACCATTGACCATAGATGTATGGGTTTATTTGCCAACTCCTAATTTTATTCCATTGATCTCTATGTCTCTCCTTATGTTATTTAATACTATACTGCTTTGATTACTGTAACTTGTAGTAAGCTTTGAAATTGGAAAGTGTGAGTTCCCCAACTTAGATTTTCTTTTTCAACATTGTTTGGCTATTAGGAGCTTCCTAAGATTCCATGTGAAATACAGGATCAACTTTTCCATTTCTTCAATAAAAGGCCATTGGGATTTTAATAGGGATTGCATTGAACCTATGGAGACAATTTTGGACAGTATTGCTATTTCAACAATGTTAAATCTACCTATCTATGAGCAGGAGAACTTTTTTCCATTTGTTTAGGTCTTCTTTAATTTCTCTCATCAAGGTTTTAGTGTACAATTTAGAATGCTCTCGAAGGTGAATATATATACTCCATAAAACTATACAATAATTTTGTCACCTTTTTGTGGGCATCAAATTGTAACCAAGTAACTTCCCCAAAATATACCATCTGTGCCCTTAAATTGTGGTTATGGCATTTTTTATGACAAATACAAATACTTGAGTGTTCTTGTTAACTCTGTGGCATCATTACTTTTTTGTGTTTTATCATTATAGTCCAACATGAAGAAACAACATATATTGCAATTGCTTTGAAATCATCAATTCACCTTTATGCATGGGCACCGAAGTCCTTCGATGAAAGCACTGCTATTAAAGTGAGTGATCTCCTTTTTCTTTGGATTATATGATTTTTTATTTTGAGAAGAAATTGTGAACAGAATCATACTTTGGAATACAGATGCAGAAGTATATGGCATTCTTCTATAGTTAATGGAATTTTGTTGTTAGTTTGCTTGCTTGTTTGTTTTTTTATTTTTTAGAGACAGGGTCTCACTCTCTCACTCTGGCCCAGGCTAGAGTGCAGTGGCATGATCATAGCTCACTGCAGCCTTGATCTCCCCAGCTCAAGCCATCCTCCCACCTCAGCCTCCCAAGTAGCTAGGACTACAGGCACGTATCACGCCCGGTTAATTTTTAAATATTTTGTACAGATGGTGTCTCACTAATGTAACTTGAATATACCATGTCAGTAATTACTGTTTAACCCTTTTTTAGACAATTCACAGGCACCACAGCAAGGGAGAATGCGAGGGAAATTCCCGGCCCCTCCCTTTATAGGACCTTCCCACCAGCCCCTTACTCCCAATTCCTGTAGTCAATATGAAGACCTTCTCTTCTACAGCCCCAAACACAGGCTTTGGGTGCCACCCCAATGAATTGAAGCTGAGAAAGTCCCTGTTTTCTCTTAGTGGGGGGTAGAGAGCCGAGGGAAGGTAAAGAAAGGTATGGCAACGATAGAGGGGAAACACCCTTGGAAGAAAAAGGAGGGAAAAGAAAGCCTTTTCTCCAGTTACCTTGGCCACAATATGTGGGTATGGGAAGGGGTTGGATGGATCTATATTCTTTCCAAGCTGAAACTCTAAACACATTTCTCTCTAGAACTATTAATATTGTGGTTAGGCTTACTAGTACTCTTTCTACCTTTATTACCGTTTGGCTGAACTTCTATGGATAGGCCACATAAATTAACAATATAGTGTCTTAAACAACTAACCTTAAAAATGAGGGACTGTTTTTTTATCTAGAATAACTGACTTGTAATGCTCCAGAATTCTACTTAAATGGAATTATTTTGTATTTATTCCACAGTAATGAGGGTTGACTAAAGAACCGGCAGCATTCTATCATGTCCAGTAGCTTCTACCCTGGGATGTATATCAGAATTAGCTGGAACATTTGTTAAAAGTTTAGATCTCAGACCCAACACCAGGCTGAATTAGTGGGTCTGGAGTAGGGCCTGGGAATTGATAATTTTAGCAGATGTTTCAGGTGAGTTTTAACTAGTTGATCCATAGACAGGTTTTAACAAAGCACTGATAGGAACCCATCCTGACAGATGCAGCAAAGTATTCAAGAAATACTTCTGTATCTTAAGTCAGGATCTGTTTACATGGTACATTTTTTAAGGGAACACATCACACATATACAATAAAGATGAGCAAATTCTTATGACTGCCTGCCAATGTCTATTTGCATAATAACTATGTTCTTCTATAAATAGTACAGATGACTGTATATACAGTCTGAGTCAACCCTAACACAAATCACATCCCTGATCTGATCTCCCTAAATTGGGCCTTGGTTCAGCTGTCAGTATTTGGATATGAGTTTATTCTTGGGTGTCTGCTGATTGGTCAGAGCTGCCTGGTATGGAGCTGGAAAGCGAAGAGATAAGTACCAGCAATCTGTCTAGCCTGATACACAGTTCTTGTCCAAGTCCTTACTGTAGTTCTTGACTCCCACCTCACAATTACAGTATGGTGAATCCTGTGATGCTCAATCCTCTACTGTGATCTGATCTTGGCAATGAATCGCATTTGGCCTTTTGTTTTGTACTAGAAACCATAGGAGCCTAGAGTACATACCCAGTATATGATAAGTTAACATATCTGGCCCTTTTCATTCCCTACCAAGTGTGCATTGATCAATCAGCAGACTCTGAAGGAGACTACATGTCCTATCAAGCCTATATACGAATACTGGCAAAAATACAGGCAGCTGATCCAGCGAACCGGTTTAAGAGACCAGATGAGCTCCTTCATTTGCTGAAGCTCAAGGCAAGGAACTTGAAGACAGCAAACAGAATGCAGGGCCATACAAGGCTCTTATGATCATTGCCAATCTGACCTTTGAAGAGAAACTCAATATTTTGAAGCTGTTGAACATAATTATTTATTTGTTGTAATAACAGATCTAAGAAAAACTGTAATTCACAGGTCTCTAAATACAATATGCCTTTTTAAAAATCCACCTGGGGTTTATACACTTATAAACCTGACAAAAAAGTGAGGGAATTTTTGCCTTAGTTAGAATGTCATTTTTGGCCTTTTGGCCATATTTGGTTTTATATTCACAGGTATTTCCAACACTTGATCATAAGCCAGTGACAGTTGACCTGGCTATTGGTTCTGAAAAAAGACTAAAGATTTTCTTCAGCTCAGCAGATGGATATCACATCATTGATGCAGAATCTGAGGTTATGTCTGATGTGACCCTGCCAAATAATGTAAGATAATACCTTCAGATTCCTAGAAATTATTGCATACCACCATTTGAGTTTTTCCAACTGTCAAAACTCTGAAAGGTTTATGCATATGATTAGCAATGTTTATACCGGAACTGAGACATAAAAGGTAAGTACAGAGTGCCAGAAAGTGGTCTTGCATAAACAAAAAACACTGATGATCCCTTAGTTTAGAAAGCTGAGTATATTCTGCAGATAGATTTTGCTTGTCTTGCCCAGTGCTTTTTTGTTTTTAATGAATAAAGTTTACGCTTAAAATCTGGACTTCTACTGATACATCAGAAGACCTGATAGCATCAGTGCCACATTGCTATCTAACCATTATCAATTGGAATTGATTCATTCATGGCTCCTTTTAGATAGTATATATGCTCTACATTTTCTACCCATTTATGTTTATATATTTATAATAACTGACCATAAAGTGTATTTGATTTTGCAGTACTTGCTTTATTTTTCTTCACTTCACAATGCATTAACAAATTTTTAAAAAATACAACACCAGTATTGCAGCATTATTATGTGTATCCCTATTCTTTATTATATTACTTCAACTGTGACATAACAGCAAATTATCATAAAATGTTCTCTTATCTGGTTAATTATAGTTAGTATTTCTGATCAAAAGATTCAGCATTTTAAAAGCAGATACTCCTCAACTCTTAAACAATTATATTTTGTGAAAATGTGGCACAACATCTAAAATATAGATTGTCATAAAAATATTATACACATCATTTACATAAAGAGTTTGAACATACTATAATATCCCTCACACATACCATACAAAATATAATTCTACTGTGTCTCAAATTTGATATTGGAAATGATGTTTGTCCTATTGAAATTTTTATTTAAAAGAAAGGCCTAAACCAACAGTTTCTCTGCTTCACTATATTTAAATTCCCACTTTTTAGACAACCAAAATTTTAACAGTTTTGCATTATACAAAAAGTCCAGGAGAAAACTTTGATGTATTTTCAAATTACTATAGTTGTGTGATATTTTGAACAGCTCTCAGAATTGTCTCATATGTCTCTAACAAATTACATAAATCAATTGTCAGGACATTAGTGGGGACAATTTTGTAAAAGTCTTTTGGTCATATTAAAGATAATTAGCTTATTACTCAGTTGTTGCCCATGATTATATAGAAATCACACTGTTGATAATGTAGAAAATACAGAACCAATCTTAGCCAAACCCACTTAAACATGAGGTCAGGTTAATTTTGATATAGCTATTGTACTCTTCAGTTGGAGTGTCTTCCGTAGCTTCCTGCATTTTTTTAATGTTGTGTCAGATAGCTTTTATCAAGAATCTAGTGCAGTATTGAACATTGCAGCATTGGTCCATGTTTACACTTATTTGAAAAGTAATTCAGGAATTTTGACCCCTGTGTTTCACATGATTAATAAGCAAGGAAAGTCATTTGAAGCAATTTGTTAGTTAGAGATGAGTTCTTAAAAATCACTTTCTGACCCAATTAGGATAACTTGTGTATATTAAAAAATATTTTTAGCTAAATACTCTAGTGTCTTGACCCATTAAAAGAGAAAAGGACTCTATTATTAGGGAGGTGGGTGTCTTCTGAGAAAGAATGTACTAAAAATAATATTTTTCCAAGAGTTCCAGATTACAAAAGCTGTAATGATACAAGGGAATCATGTGTGCTGAAGAATATCTGGTTACTTCAGGAATCATCTGAGAAGCATCTGAGGCTGTCTGAATTTGCAGCAGTCCAGTTTTTCTCTAAATAGATTTTATTGAGACGACCTTCTTTTCTGCAATTTCTTTTACTCTCTTCCTTTATCTTTGTTTTTTTCTGATTCAATTGCTCATGCAAGTGCCCAGGGAACGCATTAAAATTGCTTTTCGTCTCTGGATCCCCATTTTAGTTATCAGGATTGTTGTTGCTGGGACATGGCCTCAAGCACCTGGCCTGAGTACTCTGGGGTTGGCAAGTATAGTTTCTGACTTTTTTTTTTTTTTTTTTTGTAATGTGCTAGTTTGGAGAAACCATAGAGGAACACAATTTTTCATCTGCAGGGAAATACTGTTAATGTGACAATATCTGTAGTTTAAGAAAATTTTGTTGCATTGTTTTGTGCATCATGAAATTTAGAAATGCTTAGATATTTCTTAGTATTTCATATTATGTCACCAAATACGTCCTTGTGTATCTTAAATGCATTTGAAATTATATTAATTGGAAAAGAAATTCTAACATTTTTGCAAAGGGGGAAATGACTTAAAGTTATATTTCAAGCTGTGGAGACTATTATAAAGCTGTCCCTTGTAAGCATTTTAAGTTCAAGCTATTTTTTAGATTAGTTTTCTATTTCTAATTTGAATGAGTTGGTTGATAGGCAAGTATTGTATATTTGTTACTTGGTTTATACATTAATTACCAAAGTATTTATTAATGTGCTGAAATGAATTTTAAACCCAAGTCTGTAACAAGTAGTGTTTCTTCTATTATGATACATAATAATTTGTGAAATGTCAAGAAATCTCTCTGTGTTGGAAATACATCTTTGCTTTTTTAAAATAAGGCTTTCTCCTAATTATAAAGAAGAATATTTAACAGCTATGACTTTATGACATAAAGAAAGCAGCTTTTTTCAAATATTGGATAGCATACTTATTAATTTGGAAATAGAGGTTTCTCTTCCTCCTTGCTCTTTGAACCTCTTTTGGTCTTTATTTCTCTGCCAAGCTGCTTCAATTAAAGTAGTAGTGATAAAATATTGGACATATAAATCTTTATGAAACATAATTCCAGCCCCTGGAAATCATTATACCACAGAATATCATCATTTTACCTGATTGCCTGGGAATTGGCATGATGCTCACCTTCAATGCTGAAGCCCTCTCTGTGGAAGCAAATGAACAACTCTTCAAGAAGATCCTTGAAATGTGGAAAGACATACCATCTTCTATAGGTATGTATACAATTTCTTTCTTCTTCGGAACCCCAGAGAAACTTTTCATGGGTAAAAAAAAGTGTCCTAAGAAAAGATTTCCTGAATTATTACATTTTCTTAAGACACATAAGATTAATTTGGGGTTCTGCATAATTATTCCCTTAGTAAGATGATGCCTGTATTTGTCCTATGCTTAATGAATTCAGAAGAGTACCACAAAGAGACTCATTTTGGTTATCTGAGTTATTTGCAATATTGTATAATTGAAATGAGAGCTAATTCCTTTCCACAAAAATCTATAATTTTATTGTAACTCCCTTTACTTGCAGAATTTACACAGATATTGGAAATGCTTCTTTTCATCACACTTATTGTGGGGTTTATCTTTATCTTAGGAGACTGCCAACTAGTACAAAAGAGCCAAATACTTCCATTTTTTATAGTCAGTAGAGTTCTATTTTGTGAGTGATATTCCTGTGAAGAATCAAATCATTTAGAAAAGTGATAGATATGACTGACTGGAGTGCCTGTTAGGTACCATCCAGGTGGCAACAAAGAAAAATGCCTTTTCATCTTCATCAAACCAGGAAATTTTTTTCTTCCTAGCCAAATCAGGACTGCTGATCTGGGAAATCCAAATAATTTGAGATTGTTGTATATGTTCTGAGGCTCACTGACCCTAGACGTGATTCTAGATAGGGAACATAATGCATACGAAAAGTAAAAATATTAGAGAGAGTAGAATGATTAGCTGGAGGATAGCTATTATAGAAAAGAGAAGTTTAATGGAGCAAATAAAGGAAAAAGAAAGCTCTGTGTGTGTGTGTGTGTGTGTGTGTGTGTGTGTGTGTGTGTAGAGAGAGAGAGAGAGGCTTAACAATTGCATCAGATATTACTAAGTGTTGCCACTTCCAAAACATTGTGTCCCGTCTCAGAAAGCAAGCTAGCTCAGTAGCTAGGTTAAGTGGCAGATGTAGGTGTTTTGAGACTAAGGTGGAAATTATGTGATGCCATATGAACTAAGTACTTGGACTCAGCAAATAGCCTTTTCTTTAAGTTTAGAATTTTTAGTCTATGTTGTTGTTGACAACATAGAGACACAGAGAGAGAGAGAGAGAGAGATGGTCTGTCAAATGATAAGGCAGATTCTTCTGTAATCTCTATAAAATGACTAAATATGATCCTCATGTGGCTTTAAGGACCACTTTAAAAGAACTGCTTTTTAATGAACTTTTTTTTATATGAGATAATGGCACTTTGCATTGCATCTGCAGAATCCTTTTTTTTTTTTTTTTGCATGTATAGTCAGTGTTAAGGATTGTCCTGAAAACCTGCTCCAATTTCCAATTTCCTCAAACAAGTAAGAACTCACAGAGGGTTTAAAACCAGATTTAAGTGACAGAAGATAAATGCTTACAGTATAATTGACATATCTGGGGCAAGAGAAAGTACAAATAACGACTCATGTTCTATACTTGACAGTGGTACTTTTGTGATCGATATGCTAATCAGAAATGGTCATAAGGAAATTCAGTTCAAATAGGAAACTGAGCAAGCCCCTATATTTATGCCAGTAGACAATTATAAGGGTCAAATGGAACTTACGAAGTCATCTGGTACAGCTCTTGCCCTCAGGCAGGACAACTTCTGACCTAAAACAAAAAAAAGCTATTTTAAGTTGCTAGAATTTGAAAGACAGCTACATGTGAAATAAATTACAGTACGATAAGAACATGATATTTTAGTTTGTATATTAAGGATATTTTGAAAGTATGCTAAAGACTACCATATAACACTGATATTAAGGAAATCAATTACCATATTTTTCTGTCTAAAAACAACTGCTTTGTTATTTAAAACTAATCCAGATCCAGATTTCCCCAATTTAAATTTTACGTTTTCTTAAGTTATAGTAAATGTGTTCAAATCATCACTCTCCATTTCCAAACAAATATATACAGGCTTAACAATTGCATCAGGTATTATTAAGTGTTCCCACTTCCAAATCATTGTGTTTCATCTTAGAAAGCAAGCTAGCTCTCAGTAGCTAGATTAAGTGGCAGATGTAGGTGTTTTGGGACTAAGGTGGAAATTATGCGATGCCATATGAACTATGTACTTGGACTCAGCAAATAGCCTGAGTTTTAAGTTTGGAATTTTTGGTCTATGTTGTTGTTGACAAAAATACCGTTTTTAATAAAGTAGTCACATAGGTGAAGAAATTCAACTCTAGAGAGACTAAATCTGTTACTTCTTCCCAACCCTCTAGAGACTAATTTTCCTTATTTCCCTTATATCTGGAGTTATTTTAATTCTAGTCTGAAATTTGACTTATAAAGTCTTCTTCCAGGATAACCATTTTTCTTAGTCAATTTATTCCTTTTATAATAGAAAAAATGAAAAATCAAAGTAATTAATTGAATTCTGATTTTAATCATGTTAACATGAGAATGAAGATGGCTTATTTTGTTGTTTCCTAGACTATTTTAACTTGAGTTTAAAATCTTGATATTATTTTACATGTCAGGATTTTATTTACTTATGGAATTTTTCCCCATGAAGTACATAAAGAATATTAAATTGAAAGTTAAAAATGTAGTAATAGTGCTGTTCCTTGTGTCAAAAAATACTTTACAGCACCAAATGACTGACTGACTACATAATTAGGTTTAAGGCAATTATTGTCATAATCTATATTTGTCACAAAGTATTATAAAATAGAGTCAAAAAGTTAAAATCTTAATAAATATTTCCTGAGCAGGAAAAAAACCTTAAGAATATCAAAGTAGCTTTGGTTCTGCTTATAACATGATAATTTATTGAATTGCATTAGGGTTGCTACAGTCATTATTTGAGCAAGTCATTTTTAAACAATTTTAATTTTTTAAGAGTCAGGTTTTCATGTATGTCACTGGAGCACAAATATACACCCTTATTAGGAGCCCTTATTAAGAATGCTGTATGTCACTTATACTATAAAATAAAGAGTGGCTGTGAGTAGATTACAATGTCTACAAACGGGATAGAATTAGTCCTTAGCTTTTTCTGTGGTCTTAGAGGATATGAATACAATAATTAAATAATTGAGACCTGGTAATTAAATGTTGATTACAATGGTGCCTTTAGATAGCCAGTTTGAACACCACTCTTGAGCAGCAAAATGGTCAAACAACTGACTATAGACGGGAAAAACATGATGTGCTAACCTGAACTGTAACAGTGAGCCTCTTAATAAACAAACACTGACCGTAGTTATAATTTTCTATGACTGCCGGAAAGATTTTGTGTTTTTCTGATTTTTTTTTTTTTTATTTGTATTGTAGCTTTTGAGTGTACACAGCGAACCACAGGATGGGGCCAAAAGGCCATTGAAGTGCGCTCTTTGCAATCCAGGGTTCTGGAAAGTGAGCTGAAGCGCAGGTCAATTAAGAAGCTGAGATTCCTATGCACCCGGGGTGACAAGGTATAGCTTACACCCTCCAGTTACAGCAAAAATAACGCAACCATTGAAAATGAACTAACAAAAGAAATTTATGTCCTTTTCCTTCTGGCTATAAATATATTTGTGGTATATTTTTCAAACTGGCATACTATTGATTAAAAAACAATTTTATATTTTGCAGTAAAAACACTAACATGGTAAGTAATGAAATTTGGTTTTGAAAGAAGCTCATTTTGAAAAAATAAGAAAAAATTCTAGTTATGTCTTAAGCAAAGCTTAGCCATTATTTTATTTGGTTCAAAATACTTTATTGTCTTTGATTCATAGTGCCTTTCATGTTCATACTAAAATGATATTTTTAAACAAAATTCTTGAGCAAATCTTTTGTAGCTTTCAACAAAATTCAATAACAGAAGGAAAATGTACTTATGTTTGCTGAGCACCTAATTGTATAGTAGGCCTTGTGCTAGGTACTTTAACAGTTATCTCAATTTGTCTTCATAAGTGGGTGTTACAATGTTTATTTTGCAAAAAATAAAAATAAAATCAAGATTTGGCAATTATTTGTATTATTTGATCAATTTTAACAACTAATTCAAATAGTTTAGATGGAAAATTTTGTGGTATAAGACTATTACCATTCCTACCTATTATAGGAAATAACAGTGTGAAGAAATAGTCCTAATAGGACTAGGAAACATTCATATTGAGAAGAGATTGCAAAGGGTTTGAGTTAATATCAGAACAGCCAGGATAAAGCACTGTACATCAAGCAAAGTTGCCAATTTACATGTAAAGAAATGCAATGGCAAAAACCTGTGTTTCAGGTCAGCGAGACCTAGAATGCAGTCCTGTCTCTAACCAGGACTAACTAGGTTAGAGAACCTGAGAAGTTTGATTAATCTTTCTGATCCTTAGTTCCTTCATCTCCAAACTAGAAATATTAATAACTGCTTTGGGAGCAATTGTGACAACTAGTCATATCCGTAAGCATCTCACAGATTGCCTGTAACATCAAATATGTTAAGTCAAGAATGACTAGCATATATTTTTAAAAGTTTTACAATGTTGTCTCTTTATTATGAGGTAAAATTACTTACTATGAAATGTAAAATACTGTTTTCATATACACTTAAAGCCCTGCATCCCCCTCAACTGTAAGGCCACAGTGAAACTCTGTAAAGGTTTATGAAGACTTTTATTTAATTAGGTATAAAGCAGATCTTAGAAGAGTTAAGCAAGGGCACTTTAAATTTTATTTAACTCAGTATAGTCATATAATTTTTTCTTAAAAGATTATTTGTTTTCTTGATGACTACTAACCGAAGTAACTATGATTGCTGCCTTTGTCTAATATTAAATACTTTTAATATTTAAATTGTAATAATTTCAAATATTTTCTTTTATCAAGCAACATGTACAGTTACATACACTGTAAGCTCACAGTATCACAAATTAGAGACTCCCTGCCTCCCTTTGTCACACTTAGTATATCTTATCATCATCATTATGCCACAAAGTCTCCTAAATATAGTCACTGTGGATGTCAGAAGCCTTAGTCTTAACAAGGAGGCCTTTGTTTGATATTTATGTGCATATTTTATTCTAATTTTCTTTATGGTACAGCCCACATTTACACAACATGTCCCTCTCTAAGCCACTGGGTTTAACTCATTTTATCAATCTATTGATGTCAGTCCATTTTGCTGAAATAGAAAATTGAGTGGATGTTAAGTGCTCTCACCATAAAAATGATAACCACGTGAGGTGATACATTTGTTAATTAACTAGATTTAACAATTCCACAGTGTATATGAACTTCAAAACATCATTTTGTATGTGAGAAAACATACAGTATTATCTGTTTGTTAAATTTTTTAACATTAAAAAATAATGAAAAGAAAAAAAAAAGAAAACTACACCAAGTAGAAAATTTCAATGGCTTCTTAAATACAAGCAGCAATGGTAAACAACACCTAAATAATTTGTTTCCTTATATTAAAAGAAAAGTCATCTTGAATATAAGTGGAGGATTGTTTTAAAAAGCAAAGAATTATTGCCCCCAAATTATCAAGAACTTCAGCAAATGAAGGTCACCTACAAAATTACTAATTTTGTTTAACCATATAAATTATAATTATGTAGAATATAGTAAAAAGTTGTTTTAAAAATATATAATTTAGACTCCAAACTAATTTAAACTCATTCTTTCATTTGAAAAACAAACTGTTCCACAAAACAGTAAGGCTTAATGTTTTAATTAGCAGATGCAGATGAAATTATAGTTATATCAAATATCTGGTTGCAATGTATTAAATATCTGTTGACAGTGTATTTCTTTCTTTTTCAAGCTGTTCTTTACCTCTACCCTGCGCAATCGCCACAGCCGGGTTTACTTCATGACGCTTGGAAAACTTGAAGAGCTCCAAAGCAATTATGGTGTCTAAAAGTTTCCAGTGATTTATTACCACATTATAAACATCATGTATAGGCAATTTGCATCTTCAGATTTCAGAGATTAAATGAGCATTCAGTTTTATTTTTAGTAAAGATTAAATCCAAAACTTTTAATGTAGCACAGAATAGTTTTAATGAGAAATGAAACTTTATGTATAAAATTAACTATAGCAAGCTCTATGTACTCCAATGGTGTACAATAACTTTTGCACAAACTTTGTAACTTTTGTTACTGTGAATTCAAACATTACTCTTTGGACAGTTTGGACAGTATCTGTATTCAGATTTTACAACATGGAGTAAAGAAACCTGTTATGAATTAGATTACAAACAGTCTTCAAAATAATTGGCACTGGGATAAGATTTTTCAGAAAAAGAAAAATATCGACAAACTGTATGTGATTTTTCCAAAGTTATATGAATAACCAAAGGTTTAGTCAAGAAACAAAAATCTTAAAGATTGTTATAACCCAGACTAAGGTTGAACAACCTGCATGCCCAGAGAAAACTATGGTGACAAAGGGGAAAAGGCCATCACCCTTTTTCTCACTGATTCATGACAATTAAGCCTATAGTTAAAGACCAGTTTTGTTCTTTTCACCCATTTTTAGCTGGTTTCTCTTGATAAGAAGAAAGGAAGAAAGCCCCAGATGCTTGGTTTTTCTCGGACCCCCAAAAGATGTGCAATAGCTGTTGTTACAAACCACCAAATAATACAGTTGTGAGCCTGAATACAGGACTGAACTCCTATACATATGTACTGTAGAATGAGTACTTTTTAATACCTTAAGGTGGGCGTCAAATTCTGCTCCCCAAAGCAGATAGACTGATTTATCAAAATTATTATCTGGCCAACAGTGTGGCTATCAGACAGCATCAAATATTTTCCCAATCCAAGATTAGACTAAACAAAAGCTTCCTTCCAATATTAAACAAAAGGAATTAAACATAACAATGAAAAAACTTTGCTAATATCTGTGTTTTTCAGGTTTCTGTTTTTGTACAATCAGAAATTAAACATATTCAGTGATAAGTTCATATGTAAGGACTTAATGTTAAAGGTTAAAAAAAAATTCACAAAATGTACAACTTTCACCATATATATAAGCCTGCAAAATTAGAGTAGTGAAAGTCATGCTAGTCCATCACCCAAATATGTTATAGACGCCATAAACAGGTGATATTTGGTCACCTATGGTAACTGCTACCTGATGAAGAGCATAATTTCTGCATATCCATCCTCAATACCATGGTAAGTTCTGGGGCAATAGAGAAGCAACAGAACTGCCACAAAGTATACCTCAATATAATTCCTCTAGTTCTGCTTCTAAAATCTGAGAACAGTGCTAGTGGGAAAATAATTTTCAAACTACCTGGTTAACCAAAATACAAAAGCAGCTGACTATGTGTGATTTCATAATAGCACATTTCTTGGCACTTAGTGCCAGAAAGGAAGATTTGGATTTTCCTAACAACTCACATCAAGAATGTAGTGTAGTTCATTATTGAGAATTTAGGAAAGCCTGAATCCATGAATTAAGGAAATAAATGTGACTCACATTTCTTTTACTGTGACACAATAATGTGATCCTTAAACTGGCTTATCCTTGAGTGTTTACAACTCAAACAACTTTTTGAATGCAGTAGTTTTTTTAAAAAAACAAATTTTATGTCAAATTTTTTTTCTTAGAAGTAGTCTTCATTATTATAAATTTGTACACCAAAAGGCCATGGGGAACTTTGTGCAAGTACCTCATCGCTGAGCAAATGGAGCTTGCTATGTTTTAATTTCAGATAATTTCCTCATATAAGTAGTGTGTAGAACCAAGTCTTTTAATAATTCATTCTTTTCTTCATAATATTTACTCAAAGTTAAGCTTAAAAATAAGTTTTATCTTAAAATAATATTTGAAGACAGTAAGACAGTAAACTATTTTAGGAAGTCAACTCCCATTGTGCTCTGTGGCAGTTATTCTGGTAAAAATAGGCAAAAGTGACCTGAATCTACAAAGATGTCCCAAAGTAACCAAGTAAGAGAGATTGTAAATGATAAACCGAGCTTTAAAGGATAAAGTGTTAATAAAGAAAGGAAGCTGGGCACGTGTCAAAAAGGGAGATTGAAATGTTAGGTAATCGTGTAGAAAGGACAGAAAATGTTTAAAGTGGCTCATATGTAATGAATATTTCTGACTTAGATGTAAATCCATCTGGAATCTTTACATCCTTTGCCAGCTGAAACAAGACAGTGAAGGGACAATGCTATTTCATGGTCAGTTTATTTTGTAAGAGACAGAAGAAATTATATCTATACATTACCTTGTAGCAGCAGCACCTGGAAGCCCCAGCCCATCACAGAAATGTGGAGGGGGGCTCCTGACTGGACAATTTCCCTAGCCTTGTGATTTGAAGCATGAAAGTTCTGGCAGGTCATGAGCAGCACTAGGGATAGAGTATGGTTTTACTTTGGCGTAATTTAGTTTTTTCAACAAAGCCCTTGTCTAAAACAAAAGGCATTATTGGAAATATTTGAAAACTAGAAAATGATGGATAAAAGAACTGATAAAATTTCTGAGCGGGGTGCGGTGGCTCACACCTGTAATCCCAGCTCTTTGGGAGGCTGAGGCAGGCGGATCATGAGGTCAGGAAATCGAGACCATCCTGGCTAACACAGTAAAACCCCGCCTCTACTAAATATACAAAAAATTAGCCAGGTGCGGTGGTGGATGCCTGTAGTCCTAGCTACTCGGGAGGATGAGGCAGGAGAATGGCGTGAACCCGGGAGGCGGAGCTTGTAGTGAGCTGAGATGGGGCCACTGCACTCCAGCCTGGGAGACAGAGCGAGACTCTGTCTCAAAAAAAAAAAAAAAAAAACCAAGAAAATTTCTGAGTGACTGTTAGTAAAAGTAAGGTAAGAGCCCCAGAAGAAACAGTAAGCAGTAAGAAGGGATAATCATTAAGACAATAAAACAGGCAAAGCAGAATCACATGTGCACACACACACGTAAACATTGGAATGCATAAGTTTTAATATTTTAGTGCTATCAGTTTCTAGATGCATTAATTACTAAGTGCCATCTCCCAAGATTCAGTTAGTTGAAACACTATCCATAAACTAGGAATAATGCCACATGCATTCAATGGGATCTTTTAGGTACTCTTCAGTTTGTTTCAAGAAATATGCCTACTGAAATCAAATTAATTTGTAATCAATGTGTACTTCAAGACTGCTAATTGTTTCGTCTGAAAGTCTACAATGAATCATTGTTCAACCTTGAAAAATAAAGTTTTGTAAATCATCGGTTGATGTCATTTTTGAAATATACTTATCTAATACGACGGAATTAAAACTTGTTCAAATAATATTCATTTTTTAAAGTATATAATAATGATCTGATTGGAATATGTTAGGGGTTCAGCTTGTTGCATTCAGAATTCTGGCCAAAGAGGGATATATTAATCTGATTTAAAAAATACCTTCTGGCTACAGTGGTGAAATTAGAAGCTGATTAATTTTCCTCTAAATATATAGGACTTTACACATAGGCATAGATTCACATGGTATGGGTAAAACTCAAGCAAGTTTCAATGCTGCCTTCCCTCCCATCCCACCCCAGTATTTTCAAGTCCCAAGGAGAGGAAAGGTGAAGAACTCTATCCACAGAGTGTCTTTCATTTAAGAAGGGTTTTAGTGCAGGCTGATGGCAGAATACAGAAGACAGAGTAATCATGGCAGGTTTTAAAAGAAGCTGAGTCCTTTCTTTAGGACCAGAAGAACAGAACTTCCCTCAGCAGGTCTTGACAAAGGAGTATTAAAAGTATAGTTCCATGCACATCCTGTCATCTCGGGACATTTTGGAAAGGTGTTCATCAGGCTTACTCATTAGAGCCTGTTGGGTATTGTCCTAATTTGGCTTGTGTGGCCAGGCATTCTGGAGCTGGGCTACCTGGACACATCATGCTTATCCAGGTTGTTAAGGGCTGAATTCAAAATGTTTCATTACAATCAAATTGTTTTACTCAACTTTGTTGTAGGGTACACTGACTTCAGCTACTTTAAGGGACAGTGTTATGAGCGAAGGAATAGAAGTATCATCACAAATTGGAATTAGCTCAGACAGGGTGAGTCCCTAAGGCTGAGAGAGGGTATTATTCTGGGGACTCTTTACCAAAGCTTGGGGACAGGATAGGTCGTGACTAGAAGTCATTAGTTATTCACTATTAGTAACTTGCAGGAGCAATGGGGTCTAAGGACGTCCATGCTGCAAATCTATTGACTGAATCTTTTTTTTTTTTAACACTAATTTCCATCCGATATGATAGCATTTTTTTAATAGAGCCCTTACCCCTAATTTAAGAATACTCAGGGTCTTAAGGATAATAAAGCCATTGAGTATTGCTACTTTTTAATTCAAAAAACTGATTGGTGGCAACTAATGTATTAAGGTCAAACATATTTTAGATATCATTGTCACATGTCACATTTTACGTTGTTCACAACCATCTCAACTGATCTAAAAATAATAGTTCAAGAAAGAGTAAAATGGATTCTATATGGACTTGTATTTTCAGAAGCTAGTCCACAGGCTGCTTTGTAAATATATACAACATAAGACTTGGGATTAACCTTTTCTTACAGTTTTGTCACCTCGTATGTCAAAGTCTCTTGTTTGGTGCTTAACATACAGAAACTGTTCAATAAAAACATGAACTGAAGGGCAGAAATGGGCCCCTTTCGTTTTGCCTGGATTGTGTTTGGTGCTATTGTATCTACAACCACTTAAAACGCAGAAATCCATTTGTTGTTTCATGAAAGTATCATCTGTGTTCTGGTGACCAAAACATCACGACCTATTACTGGTAATTTCAAAAGATTTTACCCCACAAACCTGAAGTGAAACAAAGGATAGGTCAATATAGACATTGAGTCTTACTAAATTTTACTTACCTACCTTTACAACAACACATAAAGGCCACTATAACCCTTCAGCAATTACTCAAGGCTCATAAATAATGACAAACAACATTTAGTAAAATAATAGCACAAAAGGTAAACAAGCCATTTAACTGGCTGTTTTATGCAGGCATTTGGTTTGAAGGTGACTGTTTTTCTCAAGATTAGCTCTTTATGTTGTATCATCCCGAGACATATTTAAGGGCCTTCAGAGCTTGTCAGTATACTTTCTCATCCAAAATTTTTAATTATGATCCTATAAACAGCTAGATATCAGGCATTTCCTAAAGGTATGTTTTGTTTTGTTTTTTTGTTTTGTTTTGTTTGCAGTTGAAAGAGTCTGTCTGATTTGCAGGTAGGTAGGTACCTCTAAAATGCATACCAAATGGAATCATCTATCCAAAAGTCTATAAAGTAAACATGCAACACCATAAAGTTGAGTCTCACATGTTGAAATAGTTGGAAATGAATGGAATGAAGTTCAAAGCAAATTGAGCCACGAAAAAGGAAAAGCTTTTCTCCACAGGTAAAATTTAAATTATGTAAAAAGTTGGGAAAGTATGGGCTTCATTTGATATTGTAAAAACTATGAGTTTTACTCCCCAAACAAATATGCAGAATCCAAGAAAACAAAAACAGTTATTTGGATTCCAACACCCATCCCACCAATCTGGGGGAAATTTAATTTCAATAATTCCTCTTTCATTCACTAGGGTTATAGAAAGGTCCCGGGTATCTTTTATGGATCAGATAATTCAGGGGTGCCCTACTGGCCTATAGTTTACACTTCTCTACGTTGATACATTTATTGCTCACTTAGTTTCTTACAGTGGCCTCTGAAGCATGTGTGGCCGTGGAAATATTTGTCAAGACAGGGAGCCCAGACACCTAGGGTTATATTCACTATCGTCCCACTACTTCCATGGGTGCTGAGTGGGCACGGGCCCCGATGCTTTAAAAACCATAGTTCCTGCTATCCCTTCCCATGCCTAGTGAATCTCCTTCTCTACCCTAGGC